GTCCTCTTTTGGAAGACCAAACAAAGTAGTTTGCACACAGCGTCTTCAGGACATGGCGGAAAGCGGCAACAATACTACAGTGAGAATAAAAGTTACGCCTTCTTTCTTTGCGTGAACATTTGGGCGGCGTTATGCAAATCTTCCCACATAGTGAGGTAGATATGTGGGGGCGTGTTAGAACAAGCCGTTTTAGGTAGGTGTGGCTGACTCTTAACTTTTATAAAGAATATCTCTTTGGATTTGAAACTTTAGTCTTTGCAACTTTACAGATCTTCTTTATGCACCAAGAGCTTGTAACACTCCAAAGAGAAAGGAAAAATTGAAATCGCATCATATGACCCCTTTAAGTCAGTTATTTCTATCTTTTGCTGTAGTGTTCCAGGAGGAAATATCAGTTTACGTTTCCAAGCATTCATTTTGTCTTTAATTGTAATGATCCAGTGAGATTTTTGTTTGCACAAAGAGTCTGACAGCAGCCAGTGCTCCACACAGAGATCTGATCTGATCATCATCAGTCCGTCTGGAATGACATGAAGAAACGAACAAACTGAGACAGACTCAATCCAGAAGAACTGTGGCAACGTCTCCAAGATGCTTCAAGAGACCTCCCTGTAAAGCTACAGTACTGTGAAAAGTTTTAGGCACTTGTGTAAAAATGCTGTAAAATGAGGATGCTATCAAAAATAATGCCATAAATAGATTTTCTTTATTAATTAACTTCTGTTAACTAAATTAAATCAACATTTGGTGTGACCATCCTTTGCGTTTAAAGTAGCTTTTGCCCTCGGTGCATTTGCACATAGTTTTTCAGGTAGCTTTGCAGGGAGGTCTCTTGAAGCATCTTGGAGACGTTGCCACAGTTCTTCTGGATTGAGTCTGTCTCAGTTTGTTCTGTTTCTTCATGTTTTTTCAGACGGACCGATGATGATCAGTGTGGAGCACTGGCTGTTGACAGGCTCTTTGTGCAAACAAAAATCTCACAGGATTATTACAATTAATGGCAAAATGGCAATAAACAGATAAACTGTAATTATCAAAATCCTAAAACTTGAGTTTGTCAGACTAATGGGCAGAACAGATGGCATAGATTTGCCACAAATGTTTGAACTCATTCATCAACACTTGGAGTGAGTTCTTCTTATGTACTGTAGTAGTTAGAACCAATTTTAGCGTCGCTTAAATCTTAGAAAGCAGTTATACTGAGTATATGATATCAATTCAGTTTGTTACCACATTTTATTTCTTATTTAAAATGTTAGATCCTTACTACAATGTAAATGTAAACTGATATCTCCTAATCGCACACTACAGCAAAAGAAAACCATATTTTACCTGGAGAAAATACTAGTGTTCTAATAATTTTGGCCACCACTGTGTGTGTGTGTGTGTATATATATATATACACCTCTCCAGCATTTTTTATGTTTGGACTTAACATGTCTCTTCATTTCCAGGGCGACACTCCAAAGCATCGTGCCGAGAAGGCGAAAGATGCAGAACTTGCGGCGTATCTCGAGAACCGCCAGCACTACCAAATGATCCAGCGTGAAGACCAGGAGACTGCAGTTTGACCTTCAACCTCTCACCCTTCACCTCAACCGGTGTCCTCCTTTTTGTGCCAAAACAACAGTAACCAAAAATGTATCGCTAAACCCGTCTTAGGCTCTCTGGACCGCAGGGGGGGTGATACATTCCCAGAGAGGGAAGATGGTTGCACACTTTACTGTCTCTGAAGAGGTCCCAAGCTTTCATCATCTTTCTCCGAATGACCTGTTGGACTTAATGTCTTTCATTTCATTGCACTGCCAAAACATCTTAGAGTTTGTATGTATGAGACAGAATGCATATGTTAATGCACTCATCAAGCTTGCTTTTCTAGTTTGACAATGCTGAATGTTAAATGAATACGATGAGGATTTAAAGATGCATGGGCTGGTGTCTGTCTCCAGATTCATCCCTGCCTGTAAGTGTATCTGGAGCATTCACCGTAGTCCTGACTCCACAGCTAGGTTCAGTATTGCTCTGTCATGGCTGAGCATTAATCTGGTTAGTGGTACACAACAGGAACCGGAACCGGAACCGGAACCAACATTTCAGTTAGCGGACTTATTTCCTAAAGACAGTAGAGCCATTAAATGACATGTTGTTAATGTATAATGTAACATTTTAGATTGCCCTGCACTGAAAGAGTTCAGGTTGGTTCAAATATAGGAATGTTTTCTGGGGTCTTGATCTGAAGCATCAGAACCATTTAGTTATTTTTCAGGTGTGTTATTGGAAGGATTTTGCATTTTCATAGATTTCTGTGCTGTTTCTAATAACATTCGGTACTGTAAATGTATGCGAGTAGCTTTCTGTTTAAGAGGCATTTGCACTGTAGCTTTGATTTGCCTTCTTTATTCTATACTCTGGATTTATAATTGTTGTACTAAAATATAGCTTCTTTCCTACAATATTTTTAAGTAAATAGATGTTTATATAATTTGTAGCTCTAAAAGATGTGTTGTCATGTTTGTATTATAAAATTCTGTAAATTAGATTTTGGTTTATTGGAGTTGAGAACAGATCTCTCTGTGATTCAGCTCATTTTTCTTAAATCTTTGTGATAAAACAACGCACTCTATAAGAGTTTATTGTTTTGTTTCGTATTTTTTTTAGTGCTGATGTCTTAATGCAGATTCAAGATTTTAGGATGCTTATATTTATTTTCCTAAATCATTATATATTGAAATTAATTTGGCCTTGAAAGCATACATATTTAATAATATTAGTAATTTATGACTTATTTCAATTATTTACATTATAGAATGAAACTCTTCTCTGTCCAGAGAGTTACTACTTCATTAATGATATGACCCACTGATTTCAAAGTTCTTTACAATGTAATTATACAGTATGTATGCATATTCATATTGTAAATAAGTAACACTGTGTTTGGGTTGAACACACTAGCATTTTTAGTGCTCTTCATTTGCTGTTGGAAATGCATTTTCAGCACTCTCAATTGTGTTCTTTTTTTGGAAAGTTTGAGTGTTTCAAATACCATCCATCCATCTCACCCTTTTACCCAGACAGCTGTTTGACAGGAGCCTTGATGAAGGAGATTATATGAATGACTTCATATGCCATAAACACTGAACTCTTTCAATAAACGTGATGTCTTAATGATCGATTTTCTTAAATTCTAAGACTTTTTTTAAGGTTCCCCCCCCCCCCCCCCCCCCTTTAGACATTTTTAGTATGAAAAATAGGGTTTGTTGTCCATGGCAATTTTCTTTTTTCATCCTTTTCATGTTCCATCTGAGAAGTGTAAAGGCTGATTGTGCGATATGTATCGGATACAAATACATTTGGATTTTGAAGATTGGTGTTACTAAATAACTCCTGTACTATAGTAATCAAAAAGCTGTTTCATATAGTTTTTAGACAAATGCATTCTGGGAGAAAACAAAGCTAGAAGATGGGCTGACACTGTAAATGGTCTTCAAGACAACAGAGCTTTTTACTCAATCATGCCAACTTCATTCCTTTACTGAGGAATTTCGGTCATTTAATTTTACTGTTTGAGATAAACAGCCTACAGGAACCTCTCGCGCTCACAGTGATTGAAGGGATTAAGAGACAATTTTGTGTGTTTTGAGGCTTTCAATTTCTTCATAATTATCAAAATCCTAAAACTAGAGTTTGTCAGACTAATGGGCAGAACAGATGGCATAGATTTGCCACAAATGTTTGAACTCATTCATCAACACTTGGAGTGAGTTCTTCTTATGTACTGTAGTAGTTAGAACCAATTTTAGCGTCGCTTAAATCTTAGAAAGCAGTTATACTGAGTATATGATATCAATTCAGTTTGTTACAACATTTTATTTCTTATTTAAAATATGTTAGATCCTTACTACAATGCTCAACACTTCATATTTTTTCTGTAAAACGTCTTAATTGATTTGGACTTCCTTAGAAATACAACAGCCTTAAATTACTTAAGTGATTTACAAATGTCAGTATGTCCACAATTCCATACCTGATTATTAGCCATATGAATTTTTGACTGGCATGATGATGTTCTACTGCATGAACAATCCACAGCTGTTAACTCGGTGAAGTTGATGTTTTAATGGGCAGTTTTTAAGTGCTGTAGACAGCATTTAGTATATCATTTCTATAGCTCTAAGGGCAAGTGAGGTCTATGCCCTGCATTAACCCACTGTACCTTTTAATTGAGTCTGGTTTTAAGATTTTATCACCCAGGCTTTAATGATATGGTTCTTTTGTTTTGGTGTTGATCCATTTACTCTGTGGCCCATTCAGAAGAGATTGTAAATGATGCTGGCAGCATCATATTACCCTTCAGTCTCCTCTCCTATGATTTATTCTCGTCCAACCAACAGATCATGATTATGGTTCTGTACAGTGCTTCATTATAAATAATTCATACATGTTTTCTCAAGCAGCTATTTACAGCTCGACCTTACATGTCCTTCTATTATCTTATTAAAACCAAATTTTAAATGCATAGCTTATTTCAGCCTCTCTTATCATCAGCAATACACTGTCGGCAAGCACTATTTTTGCCATTATTTACTTTTCTCTAATATCCTATTTTTCTTCAATATAGTGGAGACACTATTGAAGTATATTCCATGTTCTGTACTTCACCAACATTATGAATGCACACTCCATTTTTTACGGCATTACTTAAGAGATGAGATTTTCCAAGAAATCTCACATTTTCTGATTCTTGTATGGAAATCTTACTTTTACTTTCAAAGGGCAAAGCAATGTAATATGTATGTATTTTGAATTTCTGAATGTGTTTTGTTGCTGTGTATTTTCTTGCTCAATTAAGCCTTTAGCCATCATTGAGATGCATGAAAGCAGTAGGAAGAACTGCCTCTTTCATTGATTTACAGGGGAAACGATCTGACATTGAGACTAAATTGTGTTTAGTTTTAGGTTTCTTTTTTTTTTTTTTCCTTTTTTTTGAGTTGCTATGCAATTCAAGGCTATAATTTGTTTAGAGGTTTTGATAAGGAGAAAGCAGAAAGCATGGTGCAATATATTGGGTTTTAAGAAATGTTTTATGAATATTTTGTTCTGTAATGTAGTTAATATTTATCTCTTCAATGAACTTATCTGTTACTGTCTGGCTAATAAAATAATAAAGCATACTGAATATTTCATACTGAACAGCAAGGTCATTTGTTGCTAATAACAAACATATATTTTAAGAGACTGGATGTTGAGTGATCTTTCTGTCCTTGTGATAATCTTACAAAGCCTATGATAATCATTTTAAAGCAAAAATGGTGTGATTCATTGTAAAGAATAAAAGTGAGATCTGATCCACCACTTGAACAAAAATGCTTTTTCTATGCCTTAAGAAGTAAACAGACCCTCATACCTGAGGCCATTGTTTTCATATAGATTGATTAAACTGTGGCTGCTTATTTTAAGGTAAGATGGTCCACATCAGTATTGAATTTGTAAGTATGTTTTTTTTCTGTGACTATTAATTTTTTTATTTGCTAGTGGGACATTCAATACTGATACGTTTGTAAGAAGACCAGATTATTTTTATTTCAGTTTCTGTTTATTTATTTTGTTTTCAGTAAGTAATGTTAGTACTTCAACTTTGAAATGTTGCCTTGACAACTGAAGCTTTCATCTAATATATTTAATTTATGTTTTAATGTTTTTTTTTTAGTTAAATATAATAACTCTGTTTACATTTAATGGTTTTTTTTTTGTTTTGTTTTTTTTGTGAGGAGCCTTTGAAAAATGTATATTCTCCTGTATTGCATTCAGGTCTCCCTCTAATCCACAGATGGGTGAATGTGAGGCTTTGCAGTCTGCAACAGCTCAGAGCTGTTTTAATTTTAATATAGTTGTATCATCCTTGGAATGTATTAACAACATTTCCCTCAGACTCTGATACCGAGTTTCTTTTTGTCTCTGCAGGAGTGAGCTGCCGGCTCAGAGATGAGAAGCAGGTATTAATGCAATTCCTGTCCCTGGCTGCAGTCAGTAAAAGAGTCATGATATCAGTCATTGAGTTATCACCATATATGATATGAATGTAGAATCCTGGTGATGTGGGATGTCTATAGATAAGACTGATCCAATGTTCAGCGAGTTAGTTCCATTTTTTTTGGGGGAGTAGTCATAGCTAAGCTCAGCTCTTCGCAAGATTTTATTTGTTTGTTTTTATTTAATTATTATTTGTATCGTTATTTATCTTATTTGTATTTTTTATTTTTTATGATAGTGTTAGAGTTGAAAATATCAAAAAATATATTAACATTAGTGAATACATCGCAAACTAATGTTGAACAATTTTTTTTTACAGAATTTATTAATCACATTTTTCAGGTTGTGTAAATTGACATGATTGAATGCAATATGAATTAACAACAAACAATCATGCATAAATCAACATTAACCTAACCTAATTTACAAAATGCTGTAATTGTTGTCCATTGTTAGTTTATGATACCTAACTAATGTTGCCAAATGAAACCTTGCTGTAAAGTATTACAACTGTTTACTTATTTAATAGAATAACGTCTTCACTGGTTTGGGTGCTTCTGAATTGTGAACTTGTTTAAAGTCATTGCGGTTGTCTTACATTACATATTAGTTTTTGGAGTAAAAAACAAAAAAAACATCAGCATGTGTATGTGAGAGGAAGTCCATTCTTCTGGTCATGCTTCGAGTGACCCCTGCCTTTTAAATAATCACAACGTGAATGCCGGCTACACTTCTATCTTAGAAAGCACAGACTTCATCCTCAACTCTTTAACCTTTTCATGGACAAACACTCACATGCTGGTTCACCCTTTGCCCATTTGGCAAGCTTTCCCATGACTTCCCGCTGATCCAAAGAAGCAGCGAGGGGGAAGAGGAAGGGTGTTGGGGTTTTGTTGATCATTTGTGGTGGCTGTGAGCTGCCTTTTATTCAAGCAGTGATTGTTCCATCTGGTCCTCTGTTGTGAGACAGAAGTTTCAGTGTGGAGAGCAGGGAATAGGTCTTGCCTTTTCAGGTTGCTACAAAATATGTAGCCTGTATAAACCTCCCAACCTCTCAACCCATTCTTTCTTTCTTTTTGTTCCTCACCCCACTTTGATTTCCTACACCACCACCCCCCCCCTGTGGACTGTGTGAAATGGACAGTACTTTGCATTCAGAAGTTGCTTATTTATTTATTTACAATGTAGCCCACCTAAAAAAAAAAGTCTAATTGAGATTATTTTAATTGCTTCTATTTCAACACGTTCCATTTTAAATACATGCTGTAACTTATTTGTGATCAATTCCACTCGATCTTAAATTCACATGTAATGCATGTTGGCATTATTTTGAAAGCAAGATCTACAGAAGATGTGCTCTGACTGAAATGTAAAGCTTACAGAAAAACTATACAAATCCATTTTTCATCCTGCCATCATCAAAAGTGTCATCTGATGCCCCACGTCCTTGTAGTTTGCTGTCATTTTTTATTGATCTATAGGGGCCATGTGTGTGCTGCTGTAAATGTGCATGATTGTGCAACAAGTGAGTGTTTGTATAGTAAGAGTAGGTTTTACAGTATGTGAACGCTATGAGAATGGCTTTATGGGTAGAGTTGGCTCAGGTCATTGTATGTGTTCTGTTCTGGACTGTCTCAGCCTGCAGAGAGATTGTTTATCTGACTGCACCATTTGTCCTATTGAGCCGCTGTTTCCTGCCCTTAGGGGTCTACACACACATTCACAAATACACCCACATGAAATCGCATAGCAGGCAAAAAAGAAGAGAATCCATAGCCTCTGAAAACTCCTACCAGAGTTTGTATCCGTTACATTTATATTGATTTTTTTTTCTTTTTCTTTTTAAATGATGGTTTGCAAAATTGAGATGGTACATGTTTGTAATAATTATGCGGTTATAGTATATAGCTAATCCGGAGGTGCTGTTCTTGGTAGCCAGGTTCCCACAACGATGCAAGTAGACATCTACTTGTCTCTGTGCTGAATTTGTAAATAGTCGTATAGTCAGTTCAGCATTGATCATGGTAGTCAAGATACATTATTTTATATCCTCTGTTGACATAGAAGTCATTTTGTTTTCTCTCTGTACTATTTGTCCTTTGCGTGTTTTGATCATTTGATTTAGTCTTATTGGGTTTCTGTCCTGAGCAACTGCCAAAACTGCCATCTCTGTTATCAATTAATAGTATTCATCTTTTTTTGTTGTTGTCTTTTCATTATATACATTTATAGTACTGTGCTGTATACTGAATTGATATTTTTGAGTCTGTATTATTCTTATTATATCGTCTAATAATATAATTATGATTACATTTTGTAGGTTGACTTACAGTAGAGTGCAGTCTCGTGACTGTGCCTGAGGTCTATTGACTGAGGCTGACGGGGCTGCGGCGTCACGGCGGGGGTCATTTAAATGGGGTTCAGGGGGAGAGAAGCAGGTTAAATTAGTTTGGGGGGAAACAAAGAGCCGGAGCGACGCGTAAAGGCGGATGCTGGAGAAGAGTTCAGGCACGAAACTTCAGTTTTTCAGTGTGGAAACTTTCAACACAGAAAACAAGTGAGTTCACTTTGTTCTTTTCACATCGACAGTTGTTATCTGACCAGTACATGGGTTTTCTGTTTGATTTACTCCGTTAAACTTTTTTTTTAAGTACCATTGAGAAGTTATCATAAAGCGAAAAAGTGAACAAGCTGATTTTTTTTTCACGCGATATAGGCTACACATACGAATACGAATATTAGACACGAACCAAGTGCGGACTAGACATTTTTAAAAGTTGACTTTCCTGAGGACTGTTAAACTTGTAAAGATAAACATCCGATATGAATTCAGTGGAAGTAACGTTATGTGATAATACTCTTGATTTGGTCTAAGGGGTTTTGTTATCCATAAATTAGACGTTCCTGAGGTACATTTGTACTACGTTTGTGCCGCGAGCTGTTGCATTCTTGCAATGTAGGGAACTGTTTGCTGAGTTGTAAGACCCTCATCAGTTTATGATGACAATTGGTTTCCATAATAGATGAATGTACAAAATATAAAACCACAGATAATGTGAAACGACTACTTGAATCTAAATTACACAGTTTAGGTAGAAATAGTACATAAACTACTTGAATTGGTAGTGGATACATGTAAGATTTTTCTACCACAATTTGAGACTTATTAAGTATATTGATTACATTTACTGTCCATAAAGTACAGTTTTATAGTATTAGTATTATAGGCTGTCGCAAAACCTGTGATAAGGTTTTTTTTAAAAAGAAGCATTTTTGGGCATCATTAGGCATGTTCTGGATCGCCTCCCGTCTCACTCACTCTCAGTGTGCCCAGTTGCTGTGTGGATAGGCAGCTTGT